GGGCCGGCAGCGTCCACCTGCCGCGGGCTCCGAGGCCTGCGGGCGGCGCGGGGCGCAGGACGGGCGGCGGACAATGGCCCGCGGGCGCCGGGCCGGGGCTGCGCTTACCGCGGCGGGCGGCGGCGGCCGGCTCTAGCCCTGCTCGGGCGCTCCGCGCCGCATCTCCTCAGCCTGCGCCGCCACCCGCCGGCGAGCGGGCTCGGGCTCGGGCTCGGGCTCGGGCGGCGACAGCCGGGACGCGGCCGCAGCGCCGCCGGGGGCCCAGGCTGGGAGGCTGCTCGGGCGGCGGCGGCGGCGCGGGCGGGCGCGCGGGCTCGGGCTCGGGCGGCGGCGGGGACGGTGCTCCGCGGTGGCGGCCCCACAACCTCCCCTCCTCATTCACAAAAAATTGACCCACGTTGAACCATGATGCTTCTCCCCCCTCCAGCGCAGAGCCGGGCGGCAATAGGCCACCCCGCACGCCCGTCAGCCGACCCGGCCCCGCCCCGCCCGCCGGCGGCTCGCCAGCCATTGGCTGCGGTAGCCTTGCGTCACCTCCCCTTGCGGGCCCCGCCCCCCCGCCTGGTTTCTAATGAAGAGCTCGTCAATTACGGCTCGGCCCCGCCTCCCGCCCGCCCGCCCCGGGCGCCTGGCCGGCCATCCATTGGTCCGCTGGGGCCTACGCACAGCCCGTCTGCTCCCACCCCTCGCCCAGGAGCTGCCCAACCGCGGGACCGGACGCCCTATGAGCGACAGAGAGGCTCCACCCATGCCCGCCTCCCCGCACACGTCCTGGACCTCATTGGCTCTCGGAGCTGCCAATTCCAGGGGCGGGCGTACCGACGGACGCTCCAGGCGCCAGCCGCTGGGTGCTTCGCTTTGCGGTTGGGGAGGCGCAGGGATGCGGGGCCAGTAGTGACCGTAAACACTGGCCCCGGCCGTATCCAGCCCCACTCAGTAGCCCGCATGGCTGCCTAGCGGTCAGCACCGCGTGTCTGCGAGCCTAATTCGCGCTTACAGGGCACACAATGGGGTGCAGGCTGAGGCGGAGAGGCGGCCAGGCCTCGCCGCGGCCTCCATCTTGGGTACTGGCAGTGGGTCACGTGGTACTGCGTGCGCACGGAGGCGCAGGGCGGCCTGGTCACCGAGTGCGCAGGCGCGGCGGGCCTCGCCCTGCCCCGCGGCGGGAACGCGGCCGAGGGGGTGCGGGGCGCCGGCTGGCCAGGCCCGCAGCGGCAGTCGAGGGTCGTGGGACGCGCCCTCCGCTTCCCTGCGCAGGCGGAGATCGTCCGGGCCGCCGCCGGGGTCTCGAGTCCCGGGCCGCGCAGACGTGGAGGGGGCGGGAGCGGCGCACTGGCCGGGTGGGCGTTGTTGTAAGGCGGCGGGGCTTGCGGGGGCTTGTGTTGAGCTAAAGGTCGGGCCCTGCATCCCCGGGAGCGCCTTTGGCGGCCGCAGCCGAACGGTGTGGGCGGCGGTCTTCAGCGGCCACCTCCTGGCGGTGAAGTTTCCATTTCTTTCCAAGAGGAGTGTGACAACTTTTCATGTTGGGTGCACAAGGTGGCCGGGGAGGAAGCGCCTTGGACAGCGCGCGCCGGGCCGGGCGGGGACGCCGTCCGCCTGGGTTGTAGGCCGTTCCCCCGGAGCTGAGCCGGGACCCGTCCTCACGGCATCCTGGGCGGGGGGATATTGCAGTTATGTGGATGAAAATACAGTTGGCAACATAAAAATGCCAATTTTACATTAGATGTCTCAATAACTAATAATTGGAAAACTTTGGTCATTGTAAGAAATGCTTTCTCTGACATGGCTGAGCGTTGAAGGAAAGGAATGGTGAATTACAGAATTTTAAAACAAGATGTAGCTGAAGAGAAGGAGAGCGATTACGGGGTTTTGGAGACTTAGCTGCTGATGGAAACAGTGCGCTATCAAGTTTTCCTGTAGAATGAAACAGGGTCTGCAGCTAGCTAACATCTAGATGATAAGATTCAATATCATTTGACAGGATTATCCAAAACAGGCAATCACGAGAAAATGTTAAAACCTGCCTATAAACCTATTAAAGTTAATTTTACATGTACAGAGGGGCCTGAGCAAAAAGTCAGGTGGAAGTTCTGAGATCTAATCCTTGGCAGAGGCAATTTTAAAAGGGAGATTTCCATGAGAAGGAGTGAGTAGCCGCATCGCTGCATGCCGTTTAGACCTCACGTGGGGTCCCGCCAGGCACTCCAGGAGAGTGGGTACCGCAGAGACGTGGGGTGGATGGTGCAGGAACCTCACTTGCCATGTCTGCAAAGGAGAAACTTGGCCTGGGTGGCTGTGTGTACCATTATGTGTCGGAGGGGCTGCCTGAAGGAGACCACTGCACAGGCGGTGTAGAGGAATTCAATACGGTAGAGTTCTGTGCAGTAAAAGCGAACACCCTGTGCTGTGAGCTGGGTGTAAGGAGAAAGGTGGAGTGACAACCCAAATGCGTGGGAGCAGCCCCCTGGGACTTCACATATAGGCGTTTGACAGAGTTCCAAACTCAAAGTGAAGGAATCTCAATGTTCTCACAGTTGAAAGAAAGAAACCAGCCCCAAAGGCTCAAATTTTAAAGTCTAGGATTGGGAGATCCAATAGATGGGTAGAACTCCTAGATTGGCCGTGATTGGCAAGCTGGCCGATTATAAAATCTACAAAAAACAGTAACTTTCAGATTACTAACAACATTCAATCAGTAATTAAATAATTGTAGCATTGTTAGTATGTGGTGAGCATTGTGCTAAGCACTTCATATGTGTTAGAAAATACAAAAAATTCTCGATTAGCAAGAGAACATTTTAAGCACCTAAATGTAACTAAGTTCCAGCAGAACTTCCTGAGAATTGAGAAAACCATTAAATAGTTCATCTGGAAGAATAAAGATTTTGAGAGCAGTCAAAAAGAAGAGTAATGTGGGAGAAACTGCTCCCAGAAAATAAAAACATGTTATCTGGGCTTCGAAATGAAAGCAACGTGAGACTGGTCCAGATCAATGCAGAATGATAGAAAGTAAAGAAACAGCCCCCAGCCAATGTCCCGACTCCAGGCTGGTACCCAGCCAGTGTGTGTGATCAGCGTGCTCCAGCTGTCTGTCCTTAATGGGCGGCTTTGCAGGCTGATCAGTGCCCGTGCCTTACCAACTATCGACTACGTTTCATACCACCCCTTGTAGGGATTTCAGATATAATGAAAGCGGCTTTTCAAATCAGCGAGAACACAGTATGGTAGGGTACCTGCTAATCATTTGAAGAGAAGACGTGTTAAAGTTGGAATTTTTACTCATCAAATGGAGTAAAGATTTAAGTTTAAAAAAAGCACTAAGGAAAAACTCAGTGGACATCTCTGTAGGGTTGTGGAATATAAAGAATGCCATCAACAGTCATAAAGGGAAATATTGAGAACTTAGCTATGTTGCAATTAAAATTTAGGGTGCAATTAGCGGGAAAACAGATAAACCCCAATTGCAAAAATACAAGGGAATATTAGCAATAAAAAAGAATGAACTGTCATAGATGGTTGAATGTCAAAAACATCATAAAAGATGTCAGATACAAAAGGGTTTACAGTGTATGACAGTTAATAAATTCAGGAGGCAGCCACGTGATCTACGGGGTAGAGATCAGAACGGTTCTCTCCAGGTTGGGGGCCTACAGAGAGGGGCTGGGAAGGGCACGAGAACCTTCCTGGGCAATGGGCATAACACACTTTCTGTCTGGGATGTAGATCACATAGCGGTACGTACTTACCCAAACTCATTGAATTTAAGAGGTGTGCCTTTCTCAGGAAGATTTTAATTCAGAAGAAAAAAATCATCAAAGGCAGCGTCTGCCCCAGTTTGGAGGGGAAGGGGGGAACTTGGTGCTTCAGAATACAATAAAATTAAGACAAGTGAGTGGGGAAAGCATTTGCCTGGGTTTCACGGGGGCTGATCTTCACAGGTAGCAGGGCTTTCAGAGCTGAGCAGCCCATAAGTAAAGCAGGCAGAGACAAGGACAGGCGAATACAAAAGAAACGCCCAGAAACATGACAGGATGTTCTCTGAGAAGTGCAATGCTTTGTTTGGTAAAAGCAAATGTGAGGAAATAAACACTATCATACAGCAACTGAGTGTCAACTGATAGAAACTTTCAGTTACTTAACCACACATAAATAAAATCTTGAAAGTTTGCACCTTCTTTCACCTAGTGATTGCAATTTTAGAACCTCATTCAAAGAAACAAACATGGATGCTGATGAACATTCTACTGAAAGGTCCACAGAAACAATGGTTGGTTGGGATGAATACGTATGCGTATATTACCAAAAGTAAGGGGTTTTATCTCATGGAAAGAAATTCACTTTATAGTTTCAGGGGAAAAGAAAGACGAAGACCTCATTGCAATGTGGTGACACCAACAATGAGGAAAAATGTGTGTCCTCTTCTGAGTGGAAAATGAGAGATTCTTGTTTCCTTTTGCTCACCCGTTTTCTTAATTCTTCAGTGAACACGTTTTACTTTTGTAAAAATAATTCTTTAAAAAATTCAAGAAGGACATGAAGTCCAACTAAGAAGATCACAAGGTCTGAGAACATCTGTTGAGTGGGCGGGACCTGGGGCTGCAGGACAGATGGGGAGGTGCAGCCCAGGCTGCGGTGGAGGCAGCAGGTGGGGAGTTCGGGCCCATCTCATAGCCTGAGGTCTTCCGACTCTGCCAGCCTCATCCACACCTTTCAGCAGACCCTCTGCCCTCCAGCACTTTCTCCCAAGATGCGCTCCAGACAGAGATGACTCAACCAGGTCATTGAAATAAGCGGTGAGAGACCAACAAAATAGCCGGGCACGGACCCTCCTCTGGCTCCCCTTGCCCAGCTTTCAGGCTTGGATGACTGATTCGATGGAAGTGACCTTGACCAAGCAGATCCAGTCAAAAGCTACCGAAGTTGGCTTGATATTCTTGCTTTATGTTTTATGAGATAAAATCTTGGGGTCATTAGCACATAGGGAGGAGCTGAAGTCACCAGAGGGGGTGAGGCCAGGTAGAAAGAGGTTGGAAATGGCAGGAGCAATGGAGTCCAGGAAGAAAAGGGAGAAGGGGCCGAAAGCAGAGAGGCTGGAGAAAAGTCCTCCGGACGAGGCTTTTGCTCTTCAGGGAAGTAAGTTGGCACCTGATTACTGTTTGAGGAATTTAAGTGCCAGCTGTCAGCCCAGGTCCAAAAGCAGAGTGCGATACAAGGGCGTAGGCACAGCAGGGGTTTGGGAGTGTGATTCCAGGAGGTAGGAGTGACGGACCTGGGGGCTGGAGTTGGGACAGGGAAGGAGGGACAGCCGGTCCTGGGCTGTGATGTGCAGTCGGCCAGACTGTTCATCTTTGGGAAGGAGGGAGAAGCATTTTTCCATCAGCTCCCAACCGCCGGTGGTCAAGCGTTGCCCCACAGGGGTTCAGTAAAGCCCCCTATATTTGCAGGCTGAGCAAGCAGGAGTTCTGAGAGAGCCCCCCCAGACACCCTACCCTGAATGTCACAGAAGCTCTGGAACAGGAGACAAGAGAGGCATCACGGGCCAAGGGCAGGAGCTGCCAGGACACACTGGCCACAGAGGCGCGGCTGGGATGAGAGGGAGCTCTGGCCACAGAAGGGATGCTGACGCGAGTTGAGGGTCCAGACCTGCTGTTGTTCCAGGAGGTGTTACAGACCTCAGAAGGCTCAGAGGTCTTGGCTGGTAGCTACCACAGTCACCTGGCCAGCACACGAAGTGAGGTACGTCCGAGGAGCTGGTGTGGGAGACCCAAGGCGAAACGTTGTACAGCTGGCTCATCTACTCCTGCAGGCAGGGTCCCCGTAAGTCCATCCTAAGCTGAAAATGCTTTGCAGACACCTGACCTGCCGGCCGTCATGGCTCAGCCTCACCTGCCCTCAGTGGGTTCAGAACCCATGCATCAGCCTCCAGTGGGGCAACATCGTCTAGCACAAGCCTGTTTTGTAGTAAAGAGTTGAGCATCTCACATCATTGACTGAACACTGGAAACTGAGTCAAAACTGCAACAGGCTAAGTCAGACCCTCGTGATTCGAGGCTGTTGTATTTTTCTCTTAGTACAGGAGACCTGGCAGGTCAGGCCCATGCCTAGTTTGGGTGGCATGGGGCAAGCATCAGGCGAGGCTCACACATCTCGTGTCTAAAAATTGTAAATAAAAGGGCAAATTCACCCAATAGACTGTGACAAGGAAAGTGCCCATCCTCCTCCTGCCACGCTTGTCCTGCTGTAACTGTTTGGAATTTAAAATCTTCAGGGGCCTCGGGGCTCTGCCCCAGAGGGAGCTGCAGCCAGCCCCTGCCTTGTCCCTCTCCCTTCTTGCCACTGACCCCGTCTTGCACCTCAAGGTGCCTTTCTTCCTTGCCCAGCCTGATCCAAGCTCCACCTGCATTCCCAGACAGCCACCGCCTGGCCTCCCTGCGGACCTGAGGGTGGGCAGCCCCGTGGCACAGTCTGCCTTTGGGTCTTGGACCTGAAAATAGGCCCATGTCCATTTGGAAATGGCTTCAGGTCATCTGGATGTGGAATCCTGGGCCCCCATCACCTGGAGAATGGGACCCCAAGCAACACCCCCCATGGCTCCACTGACTCCTCAGCTCGGGGAAAGATACCCCGGAGGGGCCGGATAGCCTCCCTTGACAGCATGAGTTCTGGAGCAGGAGGCCAGGCCAGGGCCCTCGTGCTCAGGTCTCAGATGGGCTCTGAAAACCCCAAGCAGGAAAATC